CGAGACGCGCTTAGCGATGCAACGACGCTTACACCGGGGCTTGGCAACAGCAACAAAACTACGGCATCATCCCGTGCACCTAGTGTACAGCGTAAGAGAGGAGCGCTACGTGCAGTCCAATAACCCAGGACGTATGGAACCGACGACGAGGCGCTATTGAAATTCCTAAGCCGCGCATATGTGTATATGCGGGGAACAACCTTAACAACCAGCCGAAACATCACACACACCTCTTGAACTTTACCGAAAACACAGCGCGAAATAATACCGCATTTGCACGCGGGGGTTGAAAGAAACTCGTTTTCCTTACGCGACATCCATCCGTTTTACATTATAGTCGGTGTCCTCGTGTCGCGTCTTATAATATACGGTGTACGGCACACGAGAGGTGGGGTGTGCAAACGTTAACGGGGATTGAGAATTTAATGCGACGGGGATGGGATTTATTGGCCGCGGCGTTTCGTACAGTCGCGGAGACGCACGTGTGTTCATAGCGGAATACCGGGTTTTTAGACGGATGAAATGCGCGCGCCAGAGGGAGAATATGTCGATCGAACCTCGATGCTTTTTCCTGTCCGCGCTACATTTCCCCAACGAGCGACTACAGATTTTTTACTGTTTTCCCGGTTTCAGTATAGTGGAATTTATCTCCCGCGTGTCTTGTGCGTATACCTGAAAACCTTTGCAAGACCGTACTTTACCATCGAGTCAATCGACAATAAATTCCCGGTGAAAAGTCGGGGCATGGTGATTGGAGAATATCGCGAGTATCCACAATCCTATCTCCGAGGGACAAGCCGAGGGTACGTTTCACCCCGTCATATTCAAGAGATACACCGAGCAGCACATGCATACATCCTACGTACAGCGGGACAGAGAGGGAAAAGTGAAAGTGCCCGAGTAAAGTGCGCAAAAAATCTGCGTAACCTCACGATTGTCGGGGGAAAAACACATACACACACCCGATCGCGAGCTAAAACATTGCCGAGTGCGCGATAGACGCGTGTATACGGACAATCGAGTGGAAACTCTGGTCGCCCGGTTTTTTTTTTTTTTTTTTTTTTTTTTTTTTTTTTTNGCTACTGCACCGCCACCCATTCGCGAATAAACATTCCGCTCGCGCGTAATTTTCGGGTGCCCGCACGAGTGCAGTTTTTTTTTTTTTTTGCTTTTTTTTTTTTTTTTTTTTTTTTTTTTTTTTCAGTCAAGTAACAACACTAGCAGAGAGAACCAGCATGTGCCGCGAGCGCTTAAGTAATCGCGAGGCTGCGCCGTGTCGGCTCTATCGATTATACAATAGTATAGGTGCTCGTAGCGTGTACATTTATATACATGTATATATATAAAGCAGCCGGGGGAGAATGGCCGGTATGCGGTGTGCTATGCAGAGCTGCTTCCGTGAGATGAAAATAATGCGCTTACGGCGCTTGGTGTTACTAGAAACTCAACGTAAGTAAGGGGTAATTAGCAGTGCCTACATGGTGGTATGGACATATCACTGCGTACGAGCACCACGATGGGGATGTTTGTAATGATTTTGCGTTACATAAACTGCATATTATACAACATGAGCTTGGAAAATCGACTGCCGATTTTTCCCATGTATTATACATATATACGCCATATAAGCCGTAATGATGATCGTTTCGGTGTATATGTGTGCGTTATATTATACATATTACGCAGTGTAGTGCGTGCATGAATGGCTTTAGATCGGCACCCCTTGAAAACAGAGTAAATAAGAGTATTGCGCTATCTAAACAAAACAGTTTTCAATTTTCCGACTGAAAAGTTTAGGCGTGTGCGCGCGCGATCGATCCAATTAAGTTTCCATTCAACGCCGATGCGCAGCCAAATAACGTATATAGAATAAAAAAAAGAGAGAGCCCCCAGACGTAGCGACGTCCACGACACTCTATATACGTATATGCTGTATATCGATCAGACCCTTCCCTACTTTCTTAGCTATCGTGAAAATCTGTAATTAAGTTCCGTTGGAGGGAGACGCGGAGGCTGGCGCACAATACATAAGCAGATTCAAAGCCTCCCGGCCTGTATAGGTGGCTTATACCGTCGCATCTTCTTATAAAATCTCCGCTGTCCAAAGTTGCCACGAGAGAGAAAGAGAGAGGGAGGGGGGGGGATGAGGGACTTTTCCTAGCCGGGAATGAGACTGCAGTCGCAGGAGTACTATGGCACATAATTTACGATCGAGTCCTGAATCGCGGGCTGTTTTGCATTTTACTACGGGCTTTTAATTACTCCGATGTGTGCATGTTTATTGCTTCCTCCTTGGAACGAGCCGTGCACACTCGAGGAACATAGTGACCATTCGGGTGGAAAGCACAGAGGAGTATACTTATTTTTTAGGGAGGAAAATTTCATGGACGGAAAAAAATGGGAAAGGAGAGAAATTTTAATATTCCGCGATTAAAACCATTGCGCGGTTTTACGGAATCACCATTTCCTACACTGGACGCGCTCGTTGACGTATAAACGTTTTTCAATAATCAATCAATCCGCCGCGCGTAGCGTCTTGACGCAGCTGCGCCTCTGCAGCTCGAAAATGCAAAAAACAATGTGTATACATATATAGATGATCCCGTGGAGCTCGTCATTGATTTATGCACCGGGAGAGAGGGACGAGTTGTTTATTTCGCGAGGAGACGCGAAATCGATTCGGGCGCGCGAGAAAGTTATAATGACTATAGACGCGCCCCGCGAGGAAATATAAACTAACTCACGCCGAACACTTGCGCGTGTCTACATACGTATATATGTGTGGACCTACATATTCATAAATGCAGACGCTAGTGATTTAATTAAGTCGTCGGTCACGGGAGGTATGCGTGTAGAGGGTGGGCTCTCCGTGGTGTCGATTAATCGGGAGGAGGTTACTTTGGATGAGTCGGTGAACTCCGCGTGGATTACATCGTTGGAAATTTTTTTAATTTAGCTTTCGTCGACATACTGCGTTATTGGGAGAGATTATAGCTTTGACTACTTTTCATTTACTCGCGAACTGAGTGTACGATTTTACCGTATATACAAAATTTCTCTCGTAAATATACATCTTCTATGCGAGGCCTGTTTCTTCTGGTATTTACTCTCATAATCTAAACGAGTAAAACATCTTCAAAAACGATGTAGGGAGAAATTTCCTTGTATGCGAGATGGCATCGATTTTATTAATTTTGCACTCAAAGTTTCCGGCACGTAAATATACGTAAAGAGGACTTTTGGATTGGCTATAATTATAGACTTTCTCTACAGTTTACGGGGTAAATAAATTACCGCAGAGTCGCCCCGAGTATGTACATATATAAAAGTGTACGAGGGACAGCGAGTGTTGATTGAAACTCGTATTACTCGTTAAACAAGCGAAGATAGTATCTCGCAATATATTATAATGAGCGCGAGCCAAACTTGTCCACGCGAGAACAGACTTTTATTTGTTTCCCCGTGGACGAATGTATAGCTTTCCAAATATAATGTTATCAATTCGACTTTTGTGCACATTATGATTGGTAACAACCAACCAAACGGTCGTAAATAAGCTACTTTAAAAAAAATGTGATTTTACCGTATCTAATTGCGATACAATTTTGTACCGATCGCGAAAACTTTCCCGCGTGATGTATACGTCGTACATCTCCTCGTGTACGGCTCAACTCGCTGAGTCTATTTTGACCCAGCAGCGAGACTCGTACACACACACAAGTAGTGTCCTCTTGGCCATTTCTCTTTCTCGAAAGAAAAAAAAAAAAAAAAAAAAAAAAAAAAAAAAAAAAAAGAA